CCGATAGTCTAAGACACGCCTGTACACGCAGATTATGATTCATGTGCAACGACCTCTGAAATATCCAATGCATAATAGTAAAGTGTAAGAAAGTGCAACATATAACAGTGAACTAACTGCAACGCGTAATAGTAGAGCAGACTGAACGCAAGGCAGTAAAGTATAACAGTCGGTCCAACACAGTACTAATGTGCAACAATTAGTTGAAGACATGACTCTAATAGTGAAGGAAACAGTAGACTCTAATAGTAAATTGAAACACATGATAGTAGATTCTAACTAAATGAAACACATATGAAAGAAACGAATGACTGTAGACTCTTACAGTGACTGAAACAGTGAAACAGGAGATTGTGTGCGTGTTTGTGGCTTTTAGTCGACCGTTTCAGAATAATCCATATAAACGTATATCGATCATCTCCTACAGGAAATATTAAGCACTACGTAGGAGATACTAAGTCCTACGTAGGAGATACTAAGTCCTACGTAGGAGATACTAAGTCCTACGTAGGGAGATAGATCCTGAGTAGGAAATTTTAAGTCCTACGAAGGGAGATAGTAAGTCTACGTAGGAGATACTTAGTCCTACGTAGGAGATACTAAGTCCAATGTAGGAGATACCCATTAGGAGATACCCATGCCCACTTAGGAGATACTAACTCCTACGTAGGAGATAGTAAGTCCTACGTAGGAGATACTAAGTCCTACGTAGGAGATAGTAAGTCCTACGTAGGAGATATTAAAACCAAAAATAATTTTCACCGTGGCCCTACTACGCTTCCGTAGTTCGTGAACCTCTGTTTATCAGTTTCAGTTATATTCCCCATATATTCCCTATTATCCCTCCATCAGGAGAATGGACATGAACCATCATTGATGACTAAGATAAGACTTTCTCCAGCAGAACCACATGCGACAATGTGGGAGGTACTAAAAAATACGTGTATGCCTACTTTACTAGTCTGGCTTTCATACATGCTCTTCTATGTTCAGTGTTTCTAAGCATTGTGAGTTTGAGTTTGAGGATATATGTGAGAAACTGCAAACTCTGGCTGCAGATGAGGACGGATATTGGGACTTAGTAGGGGTGACTATTGAGTGGAAAAAAACAACAACTATTGCGATAGTCTCTTGCGACCAACTATTGCCATGCTATTGCAATAGTTTTTTCTCTCCTTGAATTGTCTCATTTGAAGTCATTTCCATAATGAGTGTATAGTTTATATCAAACAGAAACAAGTTGAACTAGTTTCAGTCTCTTTTAATAACTGACAAGGAACTTGCACCCAGATCAAGTATAGAGTTAAAACATAAACTCAATGAAGCTGCAAGTCTGCACCCAAACAATAAAGAAATACAAAACAACATATATATTTAATAAAAGTTGTGCGCTGCACATTTATCAACGAAAGTCAATTACTAAGCTATCGATTGTCACACATACTATCGATGCATCGATATTGTTTCGTTTCTGCTATCAACAGAAACAACAACTGCAATCCATCGATAGTTCGATGCATCGTTTCAGCCCTAGCTGGAAGGATGGTGAGGTGGAGAGACTACGTCGACAGCATGACAAGATGTGCCAGGCTACTGAGCGGCAGATCGTGTCATCTCATATCTTGTGTTTGGAATATGCTTGGCGTCCACGCTTCTGGTTTGTTTCTGTATATCCTGTTTAATTCATGGGTTTTTTCCCAAGTGAAGGGATTCCTACTCTCATGGCTTTCTCAGCCTCACCATTCGGACAGGCTGTGATCACGTCCGTGCTCGGTGTTCATCAGGAGAGATTCAAAATAATAGCCATAACCTCTGGCATAACTCAAAGGGCCGAGGTTTCAACTGATAATCATTGACCGAGCAACCGCTGTATACAGTTTCGCACAGGCATGATGCGCTTTGTCATTCACTAGGATTGCAGAAATGACTTATATAAACAGACTTTTTTCCGTCACAGACTTACATTTTACCTCAGGATCAGATGCCTGTGGCGGTGGGGTTTTGGTACAATGCAAGCTCATACTCCTGGCTACGACAAAGGAGTAAATATGCCCATCGGCCAGTCCTTGTCGCCGTACATCAGGCATCCATGTCATGGGTAGCACATTGTAAGCTAGGAACCAGTGGTTAGGACATTAATTACTGGGAACCAGCGTGAAATGGTTTGATTCCCCTTGTGGGTTCAGATTTAATCCCCAGGGTGCAACAAATGAAAGAATATGGTACAGTTGTTTCATGATATTCATAATCATAAGGGGCGGTGGGGTAGCCTAGTGGTTAAAGCGATCGCTCGTCATGCCGAAGACACGGGTTCGATTCCCCACATGGGTACAATATGCGAAGCCCATTTCTGGTGTCCCCTGCCGTGATATTGCTGGAATATTGCTAAAAGCGGCGTAAAACCCAACTCACTCACTCACTCATAATCATAATCTTGAAGAATGTCTGGCCAGAATGAAAAGTGGATCACTATTTCTTATATGGTCAACCTCTAGTGTTTCTGATGATACGTCTAGAGCCGAGCAACTAGATATTCACTCACTCACTCACTCACTCACTCATTATTTTGGCTCACTCGACCATTTGTTTGTTCGAACATTCCCAGAAGGTGCATACGATTCTTGCTAAAGGTTTTCTTATTAGATTTACAGCATTCAAGGCCTGCATGTGTTTGTGAAGTTGTGACCTTTTTTACGACCACCTTGTGTCATCATTAATTGACGGTAATAAAAACAAATGGCAATGACCCAGTCGTAATCTAGACATTGCTTCAAAGCAGAATCTTTACTTCAGTTCTCAAAACTTCTTAAGTTTTCTTTTGCATTTGATACGAGGAAACGCATTTAATTGTCACGTTGCTTTGTAGCCAGACACTTCTCTCATCGATCACAATACGGAACCTATTATCAACGTCTCAAAACAATATTGTCCATACCAATATTGCCAACAGCGACGTCAAGCCCCTCATCCACACACAGAAGTAGAAAAAGGCTTCCATGCTCTTATGCTACTGACAACCTGAGCCAAAAAGTAAATAAAGCCATGTAAGATAAACATATCGATCATCACACAACTTGACAAAGGAAGTCTGACATGACAGTTGATCAATAGCTATAAATATCTTAACCTTTTTACAATGGGGAAGTATGAACATTTTCACGCAAGTGGCACGTAATAACTAATTATGCTCGAAAATGCTTCCATATTTGCAAGACCATTTACGTCTCACTGAAGGTAATATGAGCAGAATCCAACTGATGATGTTATGTGCTGTTCAGATATACGTTAAACTGATAATGAACTCTACAACATTGTAACTATATATGACAATACAATATATAAACAGGCTATAGATTACCAACAACTGAAGGTGGATCACCTTGCTAGGGCCGAGAATCGTCAGAGATATCAACATACAATTTGGCAGGTTACATGACCAATCTGTGACCGATGTATACTTACTGCCCAACCTACCTGTGGAACACACACACATGAGTGAGTGAGTGAGTTCAGTTTTACACCGCACTCAGCAATATTCCAGCTATATGGCGGCCGTCTGCAAATAATCGAGCATGAGCATCGATCTGCGCAATTGGGAATCGATGACATGTGTCAACCAAGTCAGCGAGCCTGACCACCCGATCCCGTTAGTCGCCTCTTACGACAAGCATGGGCTACTGAAGATCAATATTCTAACCCGCACCTTCAAGGGTCGAAACACATACAAAACGTTCACAAATATTATTGTAAAACTAGTCTGAAAATCTAAAATAGTTTGACCTTGAAAGACAATGCAATATAAAAACAGGCTATAGATCGCCAACAACTGAAGGCAGATCACCATGCTAGGGACGGAACAGAAGAACCAGCCCCAGTTCCAGCCCCATAGTTGAAAGTATATGTGCTCACATTCAGGATAAGTCATAAACACTAAATATACTGTTAAAAACAGAAACGCATAACCCAGAAATCTATTGCGAAAATGTTGTATTTTCAAGCATGTATAACTCGTCCACAAATAGACTTCAGTACATGGACTTTTACATCGGTTTAGAAGAAGGGGATGTCTATACAACCAAGTGGATACTTTTAGATAACGGAGGAGTTGAGCGCGATGGTGACCACGTAGCATGGTCCCGAAGTCGGGTCTCCTGGTTCTCAGTCCAACCTCTCTCAACTGTTGCGTACAGTTTGACCGGATATCCTTCGAAGTCCTGGCACCCTGGCTGCTGTGCTCTCACCCGTGGCAGTACGATCACGCAAATGTAGTACCCGGATGTACCGATCTTGGCCTGCAGTGTTGACTCGGAGGTCCGCCTGTACGGTGACGGTCATTTGTTATGACTGCTTGGTTGTAACGAGCTGCAAGCAGTGATATCGTGCTCACCAACATTCAGAAGCCTGGCAACAGAAAATTCAATCTCCAGCGTGCATACGTTCAATAGCGATGTTCCGTGTCGCAGCGTCAAGACGTGGCGAAGTGATTGACCTTGAAACCCCTTCAAAACGAATGCCGATTTCCGAAAAATAACCTGTTTTTAATGCCAGACAGTGCATGCTCTTTGCTGCACAATTTTACTTGGAAGGAGATTTCGGTTGCGTTGTGGCGATGCCTTTTTAATTCTTGCAATAAATCTCATCAAAATCAACATTCTTTAGGCAAAGTCGATGTTTGACTTGTGCAATAGTGTATAATCATGTTATCAACACTTTTATTACATATTTTGACGATTGTTTGAAAACAATAGGTAATTAATAGATTTTTAAAAATACAAAACATCAGCATGTGCGTTTCTTTTGGAGATAGTATATTACAAAAATATTGTTAGTTTAGCTGCTGAATAGATGCACAAAAAACCTCACACAAACTCACCCAGTCACAGCTGGTTGAAAGGCTCCGAAATATTTGCACTTTATGTAATGGGTACCCGTGGAGTTATTCAAAATACATCAACCATATCCTAGCCCCTAGAGAATATAACGAGGCAGACACTCCAGGCTAAATAAAGTACACCAGTGCAGTATTATCGCATTATCTATCAACAGAACGGGTCATACGACTTCACTGCACCAGGGCAGAGCAAAGTCTAGATCAACATTACAACTACCCGACTGGAGTCAGTTGTTACTTGCGCAAGGGTGTGCTTTAGCGGAGACACGCTTTAGAGAGGGACCTCTCCGCACAGGAAGTATATTAATATCATATAATAATCTACAGACGTACGTGCTTGAAGAATGACTACTGACAATATTTAGGGTAAGTTATTATATCCACATATGTAGTGTGTCCCATCCACATTTGTGTCAAACTACTGGGTCACTCTGTGTCAAAATCTTCTAAAAATTAAAACACGTTTTGTCGAAAACGCTGTAATGAAATCACCTGACTAGAGTGGAATGAAACTTGTGTTGTATTTTGAATGTATAGGCATCATATCATATATAGGTATTCGCTTGTGTGAATGTGTTGTCTCGTTTGTATCTATTCAGTGGTTGGTGAAGGATCATATGTCATGGCGTCTAAGGCTAGAGTTCTCCATTGTTGTGTTTGTAAGAAGCCATACAAATACAAAGGTGCAGATCCATACCTCCTTCCGTGTTTGCATTCAGCCTGTGCTGAGTGTATTGGCGCTAAAGGTAAGGCAATAACATGCTTGTTCTGCCGAGAGTCATTTGACAAAGGGAAATTCATTTTCCTAAATGATGCTATCACTCAAGCAGAAACCCTTGCTTCTACTCTTCAATATAAGCCTTCGGAGATCAAATGCACCAACAAGGACCATAATTTGGATGCAGTATCGTGGTGCAAAGAATGCGAGTCCTTCTTCTGTCTTTCATGTCAAGCTGCACACAGCCAGGTAAAGAGTTCCAGCACACATAGGATGGTGTCCCTGAAGGATATGGTGGCAGCGGATTTGCAGTCACTGAAGTCGTTTTGTCCAGACCACGAATCCTACGCTTTGGATCTTTACGATGAAACGTGTGAGATCCTCATTTGTTCAAAATGTGCTCGGTCCAATCACAAGCACTGTCAGAGTGAGGAGTTGGATGATGTTGTTGCTGCTGTGAAGAAAGAAACAGAAGAAGATAAGATGAAATTAGCAACCAAATTGCAAAACGTCAAAAGTTTGATCGACGAATCAAACGAAAAACAGGAGATGATGAGGAAAAGGCACAGCACATTGAAGGATTTGTTGACAAGCAGATTCAACAGCTTACGTGACTTGATAACAAGACGAGAAGCGGAAGTGACGAAAGCCCTGGAGTTTAGACATTTGTCTGAGATGGATGAGGCTGGGAGGGTCAGCAGCAAACTGAAGCAGATGTTCAGTATATGCGACAATACCCATAGTTACACAGGGAAACTACTTGAGCTTGGTAACAAGAGCGATATGCTGATGTTGAAGGAGCCTGTTAAGTTCAGGACTGAAATGGCTTTATCTGAGGGGGCAGAAGTGTTTGACTTTGTCCCTGTGCATGTAACATTTTCAAAGGAAAACATACACGCTCTTAAAAATATTCTACAAACCGTGTGCGACATTGAGACAACAGAGGGGGATGATGGAAGTTTCCTCAATCTATATGCCAATTTTGAGGGATCTCCTGAGAAAGGTAAGCTTATAACCTTTAATGAATTCATTTGATAGAAGCTCAACAGAGATATGCGTTTCTTCTAAAAGAGCGTCGGATAACTTTTTATTGTGCTCTTGTCGTGACCTATCACAATATCTTTGAAACGAGGTACGGCACCAAAGAATCATCCATGAGGCATTACAATACCGAAATATGTGTTGTGTCTTGTAGAACTAAACTACACCGGCGATAGCTTACAAAACACTATGCATTCTTCCTTTTATGTACATGTAGAAACCTTTAATGTTTAATACGTGATCATTCTGTCTTTTTTTCAGGGATAACACTTGTTGTTATCAATTGGCCATTTGTTATTCACATGGATTGAGAATATGTTCTTGCCACGATCATGTAAATAGACATACAATCATTTATGATTACAGATGTTCCAGGCATTGCAGATGATGATCAAAAAGGCGATGCCAGACATGTGAAAGCTGGTAATATTTGATGGATCAACATCTCACGATGACATCGTCTAGTTGTTTTTAGAACTACTGACAACAATAACGTACTGGAAAGGAAAAATATATTTGATCACTCTTGTTTATGTGTTTTCGCATCTTTGGCACAAACGATTTCAGATCCTTAAAACAGCCAAACTACCTTCCAGTGTTTTCAACTGTTACTGACAGTAACCTTTCACATCTTATATAAGGTAATAACATACTGACAGAATCAGTACTGATTATTGACATCATTGCATACCACAGTTGTTCTTTGGCAATATGTACAATGTTTCCTACATCGTTATAAATTGGTCATAACAGAAAAGCAAATACTTGTTGTGTAATAACCTGACAAGAAAACGTAAACACACGAAACAAGATATAACATTTCATGATGCAGAAAGGGAGCCCATTGACGTGGACCCGGACAACGACAACGGAAACAAAGAAGTAGGCAACGAAGAAAACGAACAGGGCACTGGAGCAGAGCTTATCGATGACACTGGCCCTTTATCATGTAAGTAGATGTGCAGATGGTTATCACACGTTATGCCAATAGAGACTGATTGATAACGATTCATATGAAATAGAATTTCAAGAAAAGAGACAGTTTACAACCCATTGCTATACAGACACAATATCCTTGTACATTACAGACCCTGCTTTGAAGTTCGACATGGAAAGAATCAACATCAACAAGGTCCACGTCAATAACAAAGGCTTCTTGGTCAATACTACAGTTTCTCCAGAAAGGAAACTAAGAAAGTACGTAGGGACGACAGCTGGGACACCTCTCCCCAAAAACAAATTCAGCTATTGGGAGGTACAATCAGACTTTGACATGGCTTCTAAAATGCACCAACGTGGCTTACTTATGGAAATAGGCGTGGCTACAGGAGCATCATTGGACAACAACTATTGCATGAGTGGTCAGGTGGGATCCAGGTGCCTCGCTATCGCGCACTGCTCTGCACACGATGGAGTCTGTGCGAAGGTCTGGAGCAATGGCCAGAAGTTGAGATGCTATGAAAACGTTTTGTCCACCGGTTCAGGAACATCTGAGACACTACGACATGGGCTTCTGTATGACGGTACAAGGAACATCCTTACTGTATTTGACCTCAACAACGTGGTTCAGCTTGTAGCTCTGGGCGAAGGTGAACTGGACGATGATCAATGGCCAGTGTTTGGGGCATACAATTCGTCCCTTGCTGCTGTTCAAATGAAGCTGGTATCAGGAAGCGAAATAGAGATGTTCAATTCAAAGACAAAAATGCTGAAAGGAGTATTGAATTCTGTTCTTTAAGTAAATAGCAAAAGCTATTCTGGCTGAACATGCGTGTTTGCAAAAACATACAATTATTTCCTCTTTTTGGGGTGACTGATCACATCACTAACCTACTGTATACACATATATTTGGAAAGTATTTTGTATCTGCCCAAATGAATGTATTTCAGCTTTCTTGATACCAATGTGGTTGTTCTAGACATTGGGCAAGGCAGCTACGTTGTCAGCAGATTCGCCAGGTATTTGGATGAGATGTGTTTGAAACCACGACCTGTGCTTGTGTATTTTATTACAAATGTTTCGTCATTGGCCATTAGATTTGCAAACTGCGAGGATCTACTAGTTAATTATAAGTGAACATTTCCTCAGGAGTGGTCCTTTTAGCTTAAAATATGACGTGTACATTCTCCAAATCTGCTATGCAATATCTCTATCCTCTTCAACAGTCATGGATTTATATCTGGGGCTGAAACAGATAAAATTAATCAACAGTTTATCTATGTGTCCAAGGTGTAACTTAAATGACTTACATATAGCGGCTACGGTGTTAGTGTAATGTTATGTGCACGGATATTTTATATTTTTGCTATTCATATATGATGCTTAGTATAATAAAGCAGACCCCTATGAATTTGGAAAGGGTTGTGTGACTTCTTCATTTATGCATTCTCAAAACTCTACATCATAACAGGGAGTAGCAGATAGCAAGATATGAATTCAGAATACATATTCTGCCATTCCTTCAGAAAAACTGGATTGTGACTGGTTAATTAAAGTCATTCAGAGTATATAATCACGTTATATACCTCTGATTTTCCAACACAGTATGCATTTTTTCTTAATTCTTAATAACACGGTTATGGAAGAATGAAGGTAAACACACTGTGTTGGAAAATCAGAGATACATAACGAAATTATTATAGCTCTAATCTTTTTATTTAAAACCTCACGCTACGCGTTAAGTCTTTATATGAAAACAACATTCATAAGATTTGATCATATCCTATACAAACAAAAAGTAAACCACAACACGCCACAGTCACCTGCAAGTTTGAAAAAGTGTACACATCAATGCCACTGCTTTAACGGATAAAACTGCGCCTAACGAACACGTGGCACATTTTCCATATCTTTTTTTCTTATCATAGTTATAAACGAGACGTGCACATGTGGTCGTCACCAGTTCTAAGGTAAACCTCCCAACTTTCTACCACACAGTCATGCTGACCCATACTTTGCACTGTACTGATCTATTGCGTAAACCCCTGTACATATTATCATTCAACTTCGCCCACATAGTCAAGCTGCCCTAAACGCTCTATGGGTTTCAAACACACTGTCTTCACCCCAGTGCACAGACATCGCCATTGAACGTACCAGCAACAACACAGACACAGTAATAATACTTATATGAATTATTCAACATGCAACTCACTAGTATGTACATGCATGTACATGTAGGTAGGTAGGAATGTAGGTGGGGAAGCATCTAAGCATGTATATATAGGTAGGAAGGTAGGCAGGTAGGTAGGTAGGCAGGTAGGTAGAAGGAATGTTGGCAGGACGGTAGGTAGGAAATGTAGGCCGGTAGGTAGGAGGGTGGATAGATAGATAGATAGATAGATAGATAGATAGATAGATAGATAGATAGATAGATAGATAGGTATAGATAGATAGATAGATAGATAGATAGATAGATAGATAGGCAGGTAGGCAGGTATGTAGGTAGGCATAACTCTGTCGGTGATGAATCACACAGGAACACTGCCAACGTCTTTTGAGCAGTAAACTAGGTCACATAGTCCAAATCTGTGAGGACTCCTGGTAGACTATCGTTTAGTCTCTGAATATATATAATTGTGATAGTAAGAAACAAATATGAATTGAAAAGGAGCCTCAGGGAGACCAGAAAGGAAATCTAGACTTGCTTCATTTAAGGCTTTAGCATTGCAGAGAGGGCTTGTCAGTAGGGAAAATAATAGGGTACAGGGACTGTGAGACAGACTAGGCTATACTTATACATATGTCACTGTATACGTATTAGTAAATGTTCAACATCCTATCACCACTAGATTCAGGTACTACATGAATAATGTGTTCTCAATTGTGAATGTTCAGTAGAACTAGAAGATTAACATATTTACATCAACAAATTGGGAAAACAACTTGAAAGGTCTGAATCATGCTAGAATTCTCAATTCAATTCAATTTATGACTCAAAACACCACCAACGGCGGTACATGAGAATACAATATTACTATAGTCATATAAATATATTCAAAGTCTCTTTGAAAAGCTTCTCAATCACTGAGCTCATACAACAAAACTTGCATGCGCTAACTCCGAGTCACTCACATAATCTCCCCATACAACTTACAACCTGAACAGTCCAACCAAACGTCCGTGTCTACAGTCAAACCAAACTATCAGATTGTACACTGTAATAGTGACAATACATCTTGCGATGAAACAAACAGTTGACCTATATTTGGGTAAAACCAAGGTCTGAATAAATAATGATCACATGACGTGCAGCAACGCTTTATGAGGCATGCGTATCACATGCTGACAGTGGACTCGAGAAAGAATCCAGGAAGTAAGGTATTGAATCGTTGAGTGCTGGGTTGAGAGGGTTGTCGTTTACCGCCACGTTGAACATGATAGTGGTTGATATAGAACGTCACGTGAGACCTGAACACAACATGGTAGATGTTTGTAGGTGTTTGTTTCTATTTTCCTGTTTGCTCAATGTTGAGATTGAAAGCAATGAGGTCAAATGAAGTGTGCAAAATGAATGTAAAATGCCTCTTTAAAAAACAATCACCGTCTTATGTCAGTTTGGTTTGTAGGTTTCAGACGTTTATAGCTATGGTGAAACGGTATTGTGCTGACACACTTTTAAACATAATGGTGGAAATCAATACAGATGCACTTTATAACATTGCAGAGCTCCAGTAACGCCAGGGTATAAGACTGCCATACAGATGCATTTTATAACATTGCAGAGCGCCAGTATAAGACTGCCAGGGCATTTTATAACATTGCAAGAGCTCCAGTAACGCCAGGTATAAGACTGCCATACATGCATTTTATAACATTGCAGAGCTCCAGTAACGCCAGGGTATAAGACTGCCATACAGATGCATTTTATAACATTGCAGAGCTCCAGTAACGCCAGGGTATAAGACTGCCATACAGATGCATTTTATAACATTGCAGAGCTAACGCCAGTAACGCCATTGGGCTATAAGACTGCCATACAGATGCATTTTATAACATTGCAGAGCTCCAGTAACGCCAGGGTATAAGGCTGCCATACAGATGCATTTTATAACATTGCAGAACTCCAGTAACGCCAGGGTACAGATGCATTTTATAACATTGCAGAACTCCAGTAACACCATGGTATAAGGCTGCCAAACATGAACATTTTACTTATAACATGCCAAGGTTAAGACTGCCCTACAGGAAGCATATTAAAATTTAAATAAATAAACATTGCAACCAACTTTGTATTGTAAGTAACGCAGGGTATAAGGCTGCCATACAGATGCATGTTATAACATTGCAGAGCTACAGTAACGCCAGGGTATGAGGCTGCCAACAGATGCATTTTATAACATTGCAGAACTCCAGTAATGCCAGCTGCCTTACAGAAGCAGATGCATTTTATAACATTGTAGAACTCCAGTAACGCCAGGGTATAAGGCTGCCATACAGAACCATGTTATAACATTGCAGATCTCCAGTAACGCCAAGGTCTAAAGCTGCCTTACAGAAGCACTTTATAACATTGCACAACTATGGTAATACCAGGGTATAAGACTGTCATACAGAAGCATTTCATAACATGTTGGAGACACCGCAAAGGTTGAAGTGCTCAGGCATGCAGAAGTCTGGAATCATCATGTGTTTTACGAAGTAAGTGTTAGGATTATAATTTGAAAGTGAGTATCAGCTGGTAATAACGATACTGATGTTTTGGAATATTCTTTCCAAAACGTTGTAGCAAGTGAGACTGTTTTCCTTTTTGCCTGTCATCTCATTGTTGTCAAAATAGTATTTGCTTATTGGCAAATGATTACTTAAATTTAGAGCGCGATTACGTTGCTGATGTATTTGAGAGTTGTTCTTAATGATGTGTTCTATATTATAATTTCTTTGAGGTATTAACACACAAAACACGATGGGCAAATTGTGTGAACCGGCAAATAATATGAAAGTAAACATGACATCTGGTGCGTCTCATAGCACCCCAATTAATTTTCATGTTTAAGATAATGGCTGCTTTGAAAACATTATGCTAAAATAAAAGAGTGTACAAGTTAAAGTGATCAAATTTTGCTCTTGGATATTTCTTACGAATTCTGATGTATATGAATGCGTAAATGTCGATAAAACATGTGTGGTAACGCGTCACTCTAAGCATTTGATCATGCATGAAATTAATTACAAATAAACAAATAAGCGTTTCTTATAAATTAATAGGCACGGTGAACATATAACAATTTTCCAGGAAAAAATACTGAAGCGATACCTTTACAAGACAAACATTTCGTCATTCACAAACCAATTATGTATAATCTATACATTTACAAACGTATGTTATTGAGCATTTTCGATATAATTCGTCTGCGTAAAAATACAAAGAGGATATTAATTTGCAGAGCCGTTTCGACAGGTGTCTCATTGTAAACACAAAAGGACGGTGCCAAGGAATACCCAGTCTTGAACATCTCAGAATGAAAATCCATATGGTGTTAAATATAACTGAAAATCCATATTGATGGAACACTGAGAAGCCAGTGATGACACTGAGTGTGTTCCCGAAGAAGGTAAGCATGTCTTGCCCTACCGGTCATACCCGCCATTCTACAATTTGCCAAATATATGTAAAGTATTTACGGCTTTTAGAAGGAAAGAGTTGGGTCTTGGCGGCGCCCATTAAATTTTATTGTTATCTATTCAAAACCTTATCAAAGTTAAAAGACCAGGTTGAAACAATCATAGCTTCTCAAATGTTCACTTTATTTTTTTAAAAATATCCTTAATGCAATGAAGACAATTAATTATCTGTCTGTCTATGGATGAAGCCGAAATGTTCAGATATAATTACACCCGTTCAGGCGTTTCCTGTTCAAGCTGCCTTGTCCGCAAAGAGTTTGTTTGGCGTGAGAAACTAGCCGCCATTGGGCGGTACCTGCCGGGTGTCAGTGAAAAAGTGCAGCAGTCCCCAGGAAACCACTCTGGCTAGATAGAGACATGTGACAGCTGTCATTGGATGAGCATTGATAAAGACTAAATGATAATCCCTGGCCTGCACCCGATAATATATGGAACCCAACCCTACAACACACACAACACCCCGAGTTTCCCGATATCGCATCTCTCTGACACAGGCCACCTCTCTTCTCTCCCTATCTCTCTCGCTTTCATTCCTCCGTCTTTTCGAGGCGCTGTTATCCTGTGCTATCGACAAAATGACTGGCATACACCCGAGTGCATATACATATATTTATATCACCTGATATCGCCTAACAAAGTGGCTTAGTTACTGCTAGGGCAGTATGCAATGTCAGGTAGGTGCTCTGTGTAGATTGTCTGTTATATCCTAG